ATCTGAAACGTTTATTGAGTTACGTTATAACTAGTTTAAAATGGGAAAAAATGTACTCATTCCTCTGATAATAAAATTGTTAAGAAAATTAAAATATTTTTATGCGCTATGTTTAAAAAAAAGATTAATTAATAAAGAATGCAGGATTATATGATTTATCGAAATAGAATATTCATACAATACATTTTTGTTAGTGCTGGGTTCAAATAACAATTTTGCAAAGTCAATTTTGAAAATTGATTACATCTTGTGGGTTGGATATAAGTAGTGATGAGATAAAAGTGACTACAGGAGATGTTTTTAGTGTTAATTTATAATACTTTTTGTGTAAAAAGTTTTTCTCAATCTGTTTTAGTTATTTGAAATATTAAAAAATGTAAATCCAATCAAATTTGGAAATTTTAACTTTAACGTCTTGTACGTTGGTAACAATGAATGATGAGGTAAAATCGTCAATGGAAAATACTTTTTGGGTTAATTTAGTAAGTTTTTCGTACAAAAATTAGTTTTCCATCTTTATTCGTTATTGAATTATAACCAAATTTGATGTAAAAAAACACAAATTTATGATTTTCAAACATTTCATCTCGTATGTGGTAAATATGAAGTGATGAGGCAAAAGTAATTATACAAGATACTTTTTGCGTTAATTTACAATGTTTTTTGTATAAAAAGTTTTTCCCCATCTATTCTATTTATTTTAAAGTTATATAAAATTTTATCTCAAAACGTCAAATTTGGGAATTTTAACTTTGACTTCTTATACGTTGGTAACAATGAATGATGAGGTAAAATCGTTAATTGAACATACTTTTTTTGTTAATTTAGTAAGTTTTTCGTAGAAAAATTTGTTTTCCATCTTTATTCATTTTTGAGTTATAACCAAATTTGATGCAAAAAAAACACAAATTTATGATTTTCAAACATTTCATCTTGTAAATGCTAAATAAGCAGTGATGAGGCAAAAGTGATTATTGAAGATGTTTTTTGCGTCAATTTACAATGTTTTTTGTATAAAAAGTTTTTTTCTATCAATTTTGTCTCTGAAAATATTAAAAAATTTAATCCAAAAACTTCAAATTTGGAAATTTTAACTTTAATGTCTTATACGTTGGTAACAATGAATGATGAGATAAAATCGTTAATGGAAAATACTTTTTGGTTTAATTTAGTAACTTTTTGTAGAACAATTTGCTTTCCCCATCTTTATTCGTTTTTGAGTTATAAGCAAATTTGATGTAATAAAACACAAATTTATGATTTTCAAACATTTCATCTTGTAAGTGCTAAATAAGAAGTGATGAAGCAAAAGTGATTATTGAAGATATTCTTTGCGTCAATTTACAATGTTTTTTGTATGAAAAGTTTTTCTCCATCTATTTTAGTTCTTTTGATATATTAAAAAATTTAATCCCAAAACGTCTAATTTGGAAATTTTAACTTTACCATCTTATACGTTGGTAACAATGAATGATGAGGTAAAATCGTTAATTGAAAATACTTTTTGTTCAATCCTACCTTCGAAATTGTAAGTTTCTAGCTTGGATACGAGTGTTGAAATGTTGTGTTGTTATTTGTATTCACTCTTCTGACTTTCATAGAAACGAGTGAGTAAAAATTTTTTTCAACCACTGTTAGCTAAATATAAAACCTTTGTTTAAACGTAACGGATGTTAACTAAAAAACGGTGGACAGCACACGTGGAAAGTTAATTAAGTATTTCACTTCTATAAAGTATTCATTTAAATCAATTTATTAATTTTATGCATAATGATGATAATTAACAATTTGACAAAAATTTCTTTTCCATCTTTATTCAATTTTGAATTGTAACTAAATTTGATGTAAAAAAACACAAATTTATGATTTTCAAATATTACGTCTTGTAAGTGCTAAATAAGAAATGACGAGGCAAAAGTGATTATTGAAGATACTTTTTGCGTTAATTTACAATGTTTTTTGTATAAAAAGTCTTTTTTCATCTATTTTATTTCTCTAAACAATATTAAAAAATGTAATCCAACAACGTCAAATTTGGAAATTTTAACTTTAATGTCTTATACGTTGGTAACCATGAATGATGAGATAAAATCATTAATGAAAAATACTTTTTGGTCTAATTTAGTAAGTTTTCCGTAGAAAAACTTGTTTTCCACCTTAATTAATTTTTGAGTTATAACCAAATTTGTTTTCAAAAACCTCAGGTTACATGTATACGAAGCTACAAAATTTTAAAGATAAATTTTGTTTGAACCTTTTGAAATTTTATTATAAAACCACTAAAATTTGTAGTTGGATCTTTTGTGGTGTGTCATAAGGAACATTTGTCGATGTCATTTTTACCCTCGGGCTTGTTCTTATCAGCAGGAATGGAACCCTGGCAACCGGACAATGGCCGTCCGTAGGGTTCAAGGGATGCTGTTTCCCGCAAAAACGAATCTTATCCGGCAGATTAGGCGCATAAATCAACTGCGGGGGAGAAACGACGCTCGCTGGACGGAAGGCCTTAAATCTATCGTTCACAATAAAAGTTTTTGCGGAGGCCCGGCCCCGAGCGGAATACGGAATTGACTGGTTTGGACGCCGGGCGTCGTGACGCCCCCAGCTCCAGGGCAAAAAAAACCGGGACGCCTCGGAATTTTTTTGCGATAGCCGGTGGCAATTTATTCTGCATGACATTTTTTACTTTCCGACGTTTTTTTTTTTGTAGTTGTACGCGAACATATGCTTTTTTTTGGAAAACAAAAAAGAATTTTGTTGGAAAAGAAATTTGTATCTACAATGTTTAAGTATTTATGTATGTAAATGCAGTAAAAGTAGTTAGTTCAATAAAAATATACAACAATCTAGCACTGACTAATAACTAAAATTAGAACTAACACTAGACCTAGAACTAGAAAGTTGCGGTCTTAAGAGACGCACTGCTAAACCCGAATGTTTCTACTTCTAGGTCTAGTGTTAGTTCTAGTTTTAGTATTACCTAGAACTAAAAACATTCGGGTTTAGCTGTGCATTTCTTAAGAAGTCCGTTATATGGAGGTATTATATAAATATTATTTAAAAAAAAACTTCTGTCGCCAACTGTACCAAACACTCAGTAGGTTGTCCACTGTAGTTGTACCCTCCACACCCTATTTCTTTTGTTGGGACCTTTTTAACAAAGGGAGCTAATGGTGATTGGAGCCCCACTTATTTTCCCTTACTACCTACCCTTCACACTCACGTAGCCACCGCGAAATAAAACTCTCAAAACTTTGTTCCTTTCCACCTGGATTTAATACATCAATATAATTTAAATGTTTTGTTATATGTTAATATCTTTATATTAATCAAAAATAGATAAATAAAAAACTAAATTAATTGAAGAAGATGATTTGAAATAAAACGAACCTAAATTTAAGATCAACAATTTTTTTGAAAATATTTCTAATTTAATATAAATTAACGTGATAGAAAAATTTTTTCGAATTTTGTTGTACTTTTACTGGTTTATTTATATTTTTGTTGTCTAACTAGTTTCGGCAAAAGCCATCATAAGAGACAAAAGTCAATGTATTTTACAGGAAATTAACATCGAAAATATAAATTGGTGAACAACTTAAAATTATTATTGTCACAAAATTTACTTAAAAAAAACGTAAAAATTCTTTTACAAATCTTTAAAGATTTAACTCCGCATGGACATCTTTTGTGGTAGATGTTACAAGATGGTCTAATTATAATTTTAATTTGTTCACCGCTTTATATTTTCGATGTTAATTTCCTGTAAAATACATTGACTTTTGTCTCTGATGATGGCTTTTGCCGAAACTAGTTAGACAACAAAAATATAAATAAACCAGTAAAAGTACAACAAAATTCGAAAAATTTTTTCTATCACATTAAACAAACTGGTATAATGGATATTAACTTCAATTTCAACCTAATATAAATTACTTTTTATTAATTAGTTATTAATATTTACTTCTTTTAAATTAATATTAAAACTTTCATCTCAAAATTTTCGCCATCTATCGCAGAATAGTTCAACTACAATACTTCAGAACCCTATAGGGTTAATTTCAGGGGTGAACAAATCAAAGGGTGGAAGTGGTTCAAAACTTAGCTAAACGAAAAATATCCTGATAAATCCAAAATCTTTATAACCACTTAATATTAATCCTTACTTAATAAACGCTTAACCAATAAATTAAATCATAGTTGTTAAATGAACTTTGTAATTTGCTCCTACTTTGAACCCTGTATGTGCCAATCAATCTGTGAAGTGGAAATTTACGACCACATCCTTACTGGGCCAAATTCTATACATCGCGAAGTTCTTGCTCTAAAACGAACAGGCCTAGATGTAAGTTCGCACTAAGGATCTCTCTCTTCGTCTCTTCTTCGTTTGTCTCCTTTGTACCTTGAAGCGTATAAACGTGAGGAATGAATGAATCCCGTGATCAAGACCGGAAATTTTACACTAAACTTTATATTTACGTTTATTAACGATTTGGGTTAATTTACGTTTAGAAGGGTGGGTTCTTGAGATATAGTAATCAATTGAGCAATAGATTTAATGACCACGCAGTGACGGAGTTTCGCAGTTATAAAATTGACTTAGCGTTCGGGCGCGAAATTTCAAAACTAAGTTACAGGCAAAGTCTCGACTATTCGGCGGCATAGATTGCCTATCCAAATTATTATACAAATTTGCAATAATACATGCATATTGGCAATTGGGGCCATGTTGTGCGCCCGTAGCCGAAGGCGACCGAACTACCCCTAACTTAATTTTCCATTGGCTTTTCCATTATCGCAACCGTGTTCTTTGACGGAAACTGCAAACGCCAACTGCAAAGGGCCAAACTATTGCCAAGAACGATGTACATTGTTACATTACCGATTAGAAGCAGTTGTTGTCGGATTATCACCTATAAAAAAAGAATAACTTATAAAATTTTCGTTTAATTCTATTGATTAATCTCGTAACAGCCATTTTGTGTTCATTTCATTTGCAGAGAAGGGGAACCTCTCAAAAGGTACGGTCAACCCTTTGCCGACCTCCCGGTAATTTTGAACAATCCGAGTGCGACGAAGAAGGACGACATCTTCGACTAACTCCCAGAACTTTGACCGTGAAGGAAAAGGGTACTCCCTGTTAAATAATTGCAAGGCACTGTGACCTCCAGAGACTTGTGAGGGATGATGGTACACGAGTAAGCTGCTAATATTACCCGGTAAGGCTTTTGCCGGAGGAGCCGGAACGAGAACGAACGCGACGGAAGAGGGTTGAAACCTTGCGAGGAAGAACCAAGGGTCGCGAGTTTTTAATGTGAGTTATCTCTTACGGTCGACTCGGTGATGGTGTAATTAAAAGATAATTAAAAACGTGATTGTAATTTTTAATCGCATTGAATAAGTTTTTTAACGAAAATATTTTTTGTTGCGAATTTTACAATTTTTTTATTTAATATGAAGCAATTCATTACATGGACCTGATTTACCACAGACATTTCAATTATCTCGCGATACATTTAACAAAATTCCTCCGGCCAGAGGAATTTCGCGTTTCGCAAACGACGGGAATGTCTTCCCAGCAATTCGAAATAGTTTCGCTGATGAAGAGTCCGGCAAACACACATTCAGTTGAAACCCCTTGCAGTTTCTGGCATTGTGCTTTCGTCCTCAACCTCCGTCTCCTTCGTCGTACTTTCTTGGGGGGTGGTTGAAACGGTTTTGGTCTTTTGGGGTAGTAAGAGAGTCTTCGGTGTCCGTCCCGTTGTTCTGTATTATTCAACTGGTGCGGTTTTCGAGAGAAAAGGGGGGTTGGCCGTAGGGGCAACGGGTGGGTTATGTAAGAAGTTGTTGGCGGAGTCGCCGCCGGGTGCCCCCCGGTTTCCACTGTTAAACACTAACACGGAGAAGGAGGCGGCGGCACTTCGCCGACAGACCGCACGGGGGGGCTTTGCTCGAATTAGTTTCACGTAAAGTTTGTTCCGCACCGTATAGTTTCGTTTGTTCAGACGCAACACCAATATTTTGTTTCTAGCGAGGGTGTTAATTGTTTTAATTTGCATCAACCACTTTCTCAGACCAAACGTACCCATTAGGTCTACCATCCTATCACCTTCCACCATAAACACAATCAAATTTACTAAAGTCAATCGTTTAAAAACAACATTTTCATTCAATTTATTCCAAAATTAAATTGGTTTAAATCAGGAAATAATTTTGACTAAAATTTACTTTAATCAAATCAAATTTCCTCCATTAACCGTCTTAACTAAATTTAAAAAGAGGAAATTAAAGAGGAGACTTGGCAAACCCCAAAATCCACAACGAAAACAGCCTAAACTCTAATAGAAACTGAATAAACGGGAAATTATTCAAATTATTATCGAATCGTTTTCCTTCCAATCCTCGCTTTACGATTGATGAAGACGAGCAACAGAAACGTTACGTCTAAAACAGTTGTTGACTCATTGTCGATTAACATCGTTGTTACAAGAGTTTTATCAATTATCAGTAATTATAGCGCGAATATTCTCGCAATACGGCATTCGGAAGGGTTAAATTCATGATGGAGCCTGTAGCGTGGGGGTTTAAACTGCGATAACACTGTGCGAGGGTGTCAAATGGTCCCGCCATTGGCGCGAGAACATCGAGGGTGATATGACGATGGCATAACCCTTTAGATATTGTCGATAGGGGATATTGTTAACGGTCGTTATAGAAGAAAGAAAATGTCTTCTTGTTAAATACGAGAATGATATATTGGTAACTAATTAAAAATAATTGCTAACTTATTTAATGAAACATTTTATTGTTACCTCATCTTGAGTATAATAATTGAAGTGGTTATTAGAGAATGTAGATGTAATTCTCATTTAAGCACATCTGAAAATTTAACTTTCTCTAAATTTCGTTTTCCTGGTAACATCCTACAGTACGATGATTACTACCCTCTCGTAATAGAATTCCATTATGGAAAGTTGTGAATAATAAATTACGGACTGTGGGTGGAAATGGAAGGAGGTGGGTCTGTAGAAGGGTCAAAGGAAGGAACGGGGTGGCGGTCGGAAAACGAGGGACGAAGAGGGTTGGAGGCGTCCGGCGGTAATACGGAAGGGTTGGAAGGGTTGCCCGGGGCAGCCATGATGGTCCAGCAGGGAGATCTGGGGCTCTGTGTGTAAGGCTGCACAGAACCGGGACCTGTGAATCGTTAATCACCGATTCTGCAGGACTGCTCAAGCCCAAGTCCACCTTGTTTACCTTCGACTGCTTTTGGGGAAACCAAGAGGTGAATAATTGGTTACGTAAATATTAGATTCAAATGACTAAATTGCCTTTTATATAGAATCTAATTTAATTTTTTTATTGTCAAAATCTTGTAAGCTACATTATTAGCACCTTGTAGAAGTGAAATTCGAGATCCATCCAATTACGAATTTATAACAACAAACTTTTGAAAGCTAGCAACGAACCCAGGTTGGCGTGTATGGTCCTCGAGTGAGAAGGACGAAAGGGTCCGGGGGCTTGGGGATCCTATGGGGGCGTCTGTTGAGGTCGGCAGTGGAAGCCCGGCCCTTGAGACTACCGCCGGGTGCTTACCGTACCGTGTAAAGTTATGTAGAGGAGAGTGGAGGTGCGACCGGCAGCTCAGCCTGATCTCCAATTGCAATTAATTCGCCCTGCACGGGCACTAATTTACATCTGCGGACAGTACTCGTACCCTTCACCGGTTTACGCTTCAAGAAATTCAAATATCCCTCATATATTTTACTTTCACTTTAAAATTTATACAGATTTCTATATGCTTCTAATATGAGAGAAACTCTACAATGTTGCAAATAAACATCAAAAGATGACAGACTGCGTAAACTTTTTTTTTAACACAGCTTCATTATTGAGAGAATTTCAAATTTTCTTTGATATTCTATGATTCTATGAATTTCAACGTTTTAAACAATGAGGAGATATAATTAATAACAATTAACGATAATAATCTAGATGAATTGTTTATCAGAATCAATAGTCATCCTTTAAAATAATTTTAGTTATAAATATAACGACGCTTTCTCCAACGCATTTTTATATGTTAATGTTTCAAACGTACTAAAGAGTTCATGTAAAATTCAGCGGGGATTCTGAAACGCTCTAGTTAGCATGATTTAAGCTTGAAAATAATGTGTTAGCCAAAAGTACATATCTACAAATATTCAACTTCATCTCTTTATTTATAGCTGAAATAAAAAATAAAATGTAGGTGAACTAAAAATTTACAACTTTTAACGATAAAAAGTGAATAGCAACAAAATTAACTGACGTGAAATGTTTTACATTTGTAAAATGGTTTTCGAAAGATGATAAAATATTTAATTTTAAGAATACCCAGTTCAATAACCTGCCATGGACCTTTGAATAAATAGCATTATAATGTAACCATTAAAACAGCGAAAAATGAAGTAATTGTTGATAAAATATTGTGTTAATATGGTAATTAGAAGTAGACGATGAAGAAAAATTAAGTATAATTTTAAGATAGGGTTTTATTACGTACTATGTTCATAATTCAGATATAACTTGTGAATGAACACTACTTAGATTGCTTTGTGGGTGAAAATTCAGCGTAAGCGCACTGGAAGGGCTAGATTACATCTAATTAGTTGTTGAAGTATGCAAAATATGAAAATTTTAACTTTTTTACCAAGTAATGTTGAAATTAAGTTTTGCATTTACTTGTAAATATTACTTAGGAGCAGTAATTGCAATAGTTTAAGAAGGAATTTCTTCTACATATAACTGACTTTTACTCTAAAGAGATACGTGATCGTTTATGGTGTAATTCGGTAAATGATCAACATTTTATTTTGCCCAGCATCATGATAGTGCCAAAAACCCAGCATCTTTTACAGTTTCCTTCAGTTTTCTTTGGTGTTAAGCATCTTGTGACTATAATAGTTTATGAAAAACCTATTCACTTGATATAAAGTTGAATATTTATGTACCAAATTCTAAGTATGGTCTTAGTATTTATCTAATTCAGCCATCAATTTCTTGACAGATTCTAAATACGCTTTTGCACCTCACCAGAAAGTAACTCTAATTCGAGAAACACATCTGGATTAAGTCGTATGTTGAAATCCAACGCATTTGGACATGTGTGCATTGTGTCACGAAGCACAATGTAGCAAGATTCGAAACAAATTTGAATCAAACCAAATGTTATACAGCAGTATATAATTACTTAGTGCATCAAAAGCTATGTAACGCTCCCATTACCTTTGAAACTACAGTTGTTCGTGTCCTGCTAGACGTACGTAGAAACTTGTCTACATACGTTGCAGGTTTCGGTTGGTACCAATGTGTGTCATAGATTGGTCACGGTGCGCTTTTGACGATTGTTTTATAATCTGCGTCTCGAGTTTTATTTTCATTATAGGAATATTTAGTAGAAAAAGAATAAATCATAGACTTAACTAATAAACTTATGACTAATAAAGTGGAGAAATGAGTTGTTTCATGGGATACCGTAAAACAACCCTGCATACACGTGCGTTCTGACACACGTAAAATAAACGCTAGTCTGTTACTAGTCTGTGGTCTACGAGGGAAACTGTTTCAAGGAAGTTGACGTGGAGGGCAGAGATTTGTAAACAAAATCATTGATTTGAAATGTTTGAAACAAGCTTTCAGAACATCAATGATGACAATTGATAACAATTAAGACCGAAACATTGCCACATTTGTAAACAAAATCATTGATTTGAAATATTTGAAACAAGCTTTCAGAACATCAATGATGACAATTTACAATTAAGTCCGAAACATTGCCACATATTCCGGATGGGGAAGAAATTGATAAACATTAAGTTCGAAGCTACTTGGACCTGCGTATCTATTACTTAATTATTATCCTTATTATTATCTTAAGCATCCATAAAATCACAAAATGAACAACTTTTGAACATGGAAAAGGACAAACTGCAAGGAGAAGCAGAAAACAAGAAATGCGTATAGATTTATGAAACAATTAAGACGCCATATGCAACTCTGTAGAAATTAAGCAGGAAAGATAGTAAATGTAGTACTTGGGAAGATTACTTTAAAACCTTCTAGTTAGAAATGGAAGATATTGAAGGTAATCAGCAGAGGCAGCAACCAGAACACGAAACCTACAATGAACACCACCAAATATTGATGAAATACGCAATGCCATTAAGGCGCTAAAGCTCGGAGTGGAAATTAGGGAGACCTGGACGGTAACTCAGTAACTGGTAAACAACATACCTATACGTCTCAGGATAAAGAAAGGAAGGATACCGAAGTAAC